TGGGTTGCCATTTCCTCCTCCAGGGGATCTTCCCAGCCCAAGGATCAAACCCACATCTCTTGTCTCCTGCATTGGCAGGCGGGTTCTTTACCACTGAGCCACCTGGGAAGCTGCCATGCTTTTCTGTGTGTGCACAATTGTAAGTGGGGAGGTGAGCGGAAAAGAGAAAGGAATGGAAAAGTGGGACTTCTGAGCCAGGACGGCTGTAGCAGGAAAGGAAGGGTCCCCGGGTACCTTCTGTACCCGTCTCCATTCTAAACCGCTCGTCTCTCCCACTTTAGCGTCTCTGAGGTCAGGGTGTGTCTTGCCCTCAATGGCATCTTCTGTGTGATGCAATGTGGCTGTTTCAGGGCCCCTCACCATCCCAGCTGCCTCCCTCTGGCTGGTTTCTGGCGCTGCTAGAGCAGTGGCCACATTGAGAAGTTTTGTAGCCGCAACAGGCTACATGCACACAGTTGGTCAGGGAGAAGGGAAGGAGGGTGTGGCTGACCCCAGCGTGGGAAAGTGGGCCAGGATGGCAGCTTCAAGCTCTGCTCCAGCGGCAGCTCCATCTCACACCTGCAGGCTGCTGCTTCCAAGGCACCGTGTCCCTCAGGGATCTGGCCGGCCTCCTGCTTGTCTGCCTGGATGAGGAGGTGGGTGCTCCCTATTGGGTGGGCTTTGAATGAAAGAAGTGGCCAAGGGCCCATGTACCAGCTTGGTTTAGCTGCTTTCAGACCCAGGACCCTTGGGGGAAACCCGTGGTTCAAACCGAAAGATGCCTTCAGCTTCAATTTAGCCTAGATGAGACTTGAGTCATGGGGCCCAAAGGGAGGTGTCAGCAAAAAGTTGGGTTAAGTGTCAGAGGAGCTTCCTGATGGCAACTGTGGTATCGTGAAATGCCTCTTCAGCTTAAATCTGGCAGTTCCCTTCGCTAGAAACTGAATATTCAACTGAACGGTGAAGTCTGGCAGGTGTCACCATGTGGTCCGGAATGAGTTAGCACAGCATGCTCTCATTCAATCATCCTCAAAGTCCAGGGAGTAGGCCCTATCTTGTTATTTCCATCTGAAGCCCAGAAACTGAGGATGGCAGGCATGAAACAATACACTGCCAAGGTCCTGTGTCTGGTCAAGTGGTAGGTACAGGACTTGACCTCTGCAAAAGGTGGTACAGGTGGTGGTGTAGTCGCTAAGTCATGTCCCGGTCTTTGTGACCCCATGGACTATAGCCCACCAGGCTCCTCTGTCCATGGGGTTTCCAGGGCAAGAATACTGGACTGGGTGTTCTCTGCAGAGGCCATGCTCTTGACCGGCAGGCAGCGCTGCCCAGTCACATGGGGCTCCCTGCTGGCCTGAGAAGGAGCTGTCATTGTCTGGTCCATCCACGTCTCTTCTAGAGGGCCTCTGTCTTCGCCCTTCCCTCCTGGCTGCGGAGGAGAAGTTCATCCAGTGAGCTGCGAGGCCCGAGGGCTCACCGCCATCACACTGGATTTCTCTCCCTGCCCCTGGCCCCCAGCCTTTCCGATGGTGCTAAAAGTAGTGCTGACCAAATCAAGGGCTGTCCAGGGGCCAGGGCTATTTTGACTCTGTCCTCAGGAATCATCTGGTCTGAGGCGTGGACAAGCTGGACCGCTCCCACGAGCACTCAGATGGGGTGCCAGGAATGTTCTGGCAACACACCTGTCCCCAAGGCCATGCCAAACCCTGCACTCACCCCCACCCCCCAGCCTCCCCCACCTCCACCGCATGCTTCCTGAGATACCCATCCCGGGAGCCATGGGGGAGGGGGACATGCACTGAAGGAGGATCAGGGCTTTTGTGTCTGTATCTGTAAGAGAATAACCAGCCAGTTTGGGGGACCCTGCCTCTCATCCCTTCCCATTAACTTAATCCGTGGATTTATGACATCCACTGAGAATGGAGGCCCGCGCTGGAAGTCTCCTTAGAGGCAGCAGACTTGATCTGCGGGAGGCTGAAGGGTTTCCTTCTCTGGAGATCTTAATAGTGGAAGAAATCTGCCTCTGACAATAAGTCCTGGTACAAAGCCCCTGCCTGGAAAGCCCGTACCCTCCATGACTAAGACGGCTTGGCCATTCTTCAAAGTCCAGCTGAAGCCCACCTCCCCAGAGAAGGCTCCTCTGACTGCTCTGACCACCCAGCGTGTCCAGAAACACACTGCTTCCTTTTTTCTTTTTGGTTGCTCTGGGTCTTCACTGCTGCGGTGGGCTTTCTCTAGTTGCAGCGAGTGGGGGCTGCTCTTTGCTGCGGCGCACGGGCTTCTCACAGTGGCTTCTCTTGTTGTGGAGCACGGGCTCTGGGGTGTGGGCTTGAGGAGCTGCAGCACACAGGCTCTAGGGCTCGGGCTCAGTAGTTGTGGCAACTGGACTTAGCTGCTCTGTGGCCTGTGGGATCCTCCCAGGCTAGGGATCGAACCCATGCACCCTGCGTCGGCAGGCAGATTCTTGTCCACTGCACCACCAGGGAAGTTCCCTACACACGCCTCTTTAATAGAGGTGTTCTTCTTTGGTTGAAGCCTTTCCCTCTTAGCTGTGGGCTCCACGGGTGGGTGTCTGTCACTTGGGCCATAGTGGCTCCCCTGAGTTTGTGGTTGATGCGCCGGCATGGTTGGCAAGGCTCGGGGAACAAGTCAGCCAGCTCCTTCCCATGCCGGTTCACTCATCTGTCTCATACACAAACACCGAATCTCCACGCCACCTGCTACCAGTCTGGACACTGGAGGTGCAGTATTTGATAAGACAGGTCCGTGCCTAAGCAAACTCCCAGGATAGGGGAGAGATCTGTCACTGTAGAGTGGGCTGAAGGCGGTTATTCAAGGGCCGCAGTGACTGACTTGCCCCGGGGAGCTGGGAGAGACCTCACAAAGCACTTGACCTGGGAGAGGTCTTTTGCAGAAGCTCAGAAATGCACGCAGTAGAAAGGGGGGAGATGGAGTATTCTAGCAGGCGGACAGCATGTGCGAAGGTGTGAAGATGTGAAGGAGCTAGTAGGGCCCGGAAAAGCCAAAACGTTGCTCTGGTTGTTGCTGTATCCTCAGACCAGCTGCCGTGGATGACGCGGAGGCTGCTCGGCTTCTAATGAGGGCCACGGAGATTGAAACTCCACGGGACGGGGGGGAGGGCTCAGCCACCACCCCTCCACGGAGGGGGTCAGAGGACACGGAGCTCCTCCTCCTCTGCCGCTGAGGGCTACAGTCTCGTCCCCACCTCCCTCTGCTCCTTCCCTTTTAGATGGAATTGGCTCCTGCGACATCGCTGCGCTTTCCTCCTTGTTAGAATTTTAACATTATGTGACTCACAAGCCCCAGCTGCCCTGGCGTAGCAGACAGGTCAGAGGTGTGAGTTAAAACAACACACGATCCCGATTGCTTCAGTCGGGGGACGCTGAGGCCACCGAAGAGGTTGCTTTCCTTTGTCACTGATAATGAGCGTTCCACCGAGGCTGTTGATCTCAAGCTCATCCCTCAGACAGCTCTAAGCACCTTGCCAGCATCATCCAATAATAGGATGAAGAGCCATCTCTTGCTGAGCACTTTACAAGTACAATTTCATTTAATCATGACATGACTTTTTGATGTAGGGTAAAGCAATGGTCTGGAGATCTCACCGGCTGTCGTGATGGAGCAAAACTCTGAGTCCCGGTCTTCGGGACTTTGGAAGGCCAAGCTCCAGTATCTCATACCACCTCAGTAAGGGGATGTTTCCAACCTGAGGAATGCTGGGCCCTCTGCCCTGAGAGCCCCCAAACCTCCCCTAGCTGCCCGGGCAAGGCTTCAACCCATTCAGACTCTCGTCACATCTATTGCCAGCCTCCCAGGTACCAGGTGGCAGGCAGAAGCCTGAGAAAGACCAAAGACACACAGAACTGGTCATCATGGGGCTCACAACCCTAACCCACGGCCACCCCCAAATTTCCCAGCCTTTAATGTGACCTGTTCAGCCTTCCCAATGCTCCGGGCAGCACCCCACTTCTCCTTCTAAGCTTCTCTGGTGCTCGTCACCCAAATCCTAGCATCTACCGCCTTGTGTCTGCTTCCTTTCACTGGGTGTCATTGTATGTCATTGACATCATGACATCATTTGTACATTATGTACATGTGGAGGGCACTGGGAATACATTAATAAGATGAATTAATAAGAGCTGGTCTTTGCCCTCATGAAGCGCAGGTCGCGATACAGACAAGCATGGAATCAGCTCAGGGACTGGAGGCCCTGGCCCCTGTCCTCACTCACCCCCCTCCAAAGACACTGGCTGCATGTCGCAAAGTGGCACTGTGCAGTGATGGGGGGAGCCCGGGCCACAGTCAGGAGAACCGAGTTCCGACTGATGCCACCATCTGGGGGGACAGTGGAGCTGGTTCTTCCGTTTCCTCATCTGTAAAGTGGGAAGAACAACCCCTAACCTGCCCCCTACTGAGTTTTAGTGAGGTGCTTTTATTAAGTGAAATTAGTGCATGAAAGCATTTCACAGGCTGTAAAATATTATACAAGTTGTTGTTGTCCTTATATTTGTCTTCTGTCTCCTAGGATGCCTACAGGAATCTGCACACAGAGCAGATATTCAGTAAATGTCAGTTAGTATAAATTAAACGGATTCATTCACCCCATTTACCACCTTCTGAGAGTCCCCTGGGCTTTTGAGGCCACTGTAAATCCTGATACTGATAATGCTTGACCTACTTGCTTGAGGGTGGTCTGGAGGATGTGACGGTGCTGTGGAAGAGATCACTATTGAACTGTACCAGCTCCTGGGAAACCATTTAGTCCCCCACCAAAGGGGGGCTGGGCTGAGGGTGGGTGGCCCTCCTTAGGCACAGAGCAGCCTCCTTCGAAGCCGGCAGTCCATTCTTTCTGGGATACAAATGTTACCCTCTCACCTGTTTGGGCTTCCAAACCATTGAGGCTGCCTGCCCGGGACACTGCCTATGTCATGGGTATGGTCTCTAAAGGGACCAGGTTACCACGTGCCCACCCCTTACTAACTCTTTGCCTCTCATTTCAGCACCCCTACCCCACGGAGGATGAGAAGAGGCAGATCGCAGCCCAGACAAACCTCACCCTCTTGCAAGTGAATAACTGGTGAGTTAGCATCACCTGCCCAGAGGCTCTCAGACCCAGGGGCCACTTGCTCGGCAGGGGGATGTACAGCAGGGGAAAAGGTGGGAGTGCCCAGCTCACTTCAGTCTCGGCCCAGCCACCGCACCAGCCCTCCCATGTTGGCTGGAAACAGAAAAGCTGAAAGCCACATCTATAGCTTCATCTGCAGCTTCTCAGCGCCCTCTGCTGGGAAACTGTGTCAAGAACATCACGGAAAACGAATAGACACACAGGCCTGGCTGCATCCCAGGCCCCGAGGCCCCCAGGGGTTATCTGGTCTCCTCACCACCTGTGTAAACAGAGCTCAAGCTAAAACATTCTGCAGAGCTGGGAGCAGGAAGGAGGGAGGAGGCAACAGTCCTGACCCCCAGGGCTCCCCGTGCTCCCTCCTCTGTGGCTGGCCGGGGTGTCACGGTAATCTCAGAGGGCAAGGTCTGGTGGGCGGGAGTGGACCCTTGGCTCCCCAGAGAGAGGTCAGAGGTTAGTGCTTTTGACTAAGGAGCTCTTCCTTCGCGGTTCAGTCCCGATGGGTCTGGAGCAGATTCCCAGGCCTTCTCACGCGTTCATCCCAACTTGTGGCCCCCAAGCCCCTGGTGAATTCACAAGCTCCTCAGTGCCCAGGGCTCATCACTGCTGTGCTTTCATATCCTGAACCAGACCTCCAGTCTGCTCCATTCGAGGACCAGCTGGTGGGGGTCCAGAAACAGCTTAGTGCTCTCTGCACATGTGTGCACCTGCACACACTCATGTGCACCTGCACACACTCACATGTGCATACATATACATGTGCACACACAAGCTCACATGTACACATCCATGGGCGTGCACATGCATACACAGACACATACATGCATGTGCATACCCACATGTGCCCATGCATGCAAAGACCTGCACGTGCAAAAATATGCTCACACCTGCACACATGTGCACACACGTGTGTCCATGCACATGTGTGTGCATGCACACAGGACATGTGCGCATGCATGTATGCACACTCACGCACATGCATGCATCTGCACCCATCACATGTACACGCACATGTGTGCATCCATGCACACATATACACACATGCGTACTCACATGTGCACACATATGCTCACACCTGCGCACACACATTCCCGCCCCCCAGTGGTGGCTAACCTGTCTCCATCTGTCCCCCGGGGCAGGTTCATCAATGCCCGAAGACGCATCCTGCAGCCTATGCTTGATGCCAGCAACCCCGACCCTGCCCCCAAAGCCAAGAAAATCAAGTCGCAGCACCGGCCCACCCAAAGATTTTGGCCCAACTCCATTGCCGCAGGGGTGCTGCAGCAGCAGGGTGGTGCCCCAGGGACAAACCCCGATGGTAAGAACTGGGGCTGAGGGTGCTCTAGACCCGGGGGTGGGGGGGTGGCAGAGGGGCTCCTGAAGCTCCTGCGGGTGCGGCTGCGCCGAGTCAAGGGTTGAACATCTACTCACTTGAGTGGCGGGGTCAGCTCTGTCACAATAGTTAACCCTCCCGGTCCCCACCGAAGGATGTACGTAAGCCTGAAAGAAGAGGATTTTTTGGTATATATTTTCACAAGTCCAGAGCAATCTCACCAGGATGAGTGGGAGTCCACTGGTGGGCATCTGAGTCCATGGCTGCTCAGCAGAGCCCCCCTCCTCACTCCCACACCCGCCCAGAGTCTCTTAGCACCAGTCAGGATCTTCACAGCCCCCCAGGAGCTGGGGCCATCTATAAATACTGCGCAGGCAGCTGGCTTGTGAACGGAGGCCAGGAAGAGTTTTGTTTTCCCAGCTTCTCCATCACACCCTCCATATACACTTTTCTAATTGCCAGTCGCCTGGTGCACAATGAATAATTCAATGAGCCATGAGCCAGGCATTTTATAGCTTGGCATGTAAAGCTAGCTCTGTGTGGGAAGTGGAGTGGAGGTGTACATGTGTGCATGCATACCTTCATGTATGCATGCATGTATATGGCTGTGAACCAGTTTCTATGTGGTGGGCAACAGTCTTATAAGGCAGAGTGGAAATCAATAGATTCTGAGCCAGACTCACCAGGGAGAGAAGCTCAGCAATATCATGCCTGACTGTGTTGCTTTGAGCTAATGACTCAACTGTCTGAGACTATTTCCTCCTTTTTCGAGTGGGGATGACAATACCTACTTACAGAATTCTTCGAAAGGCAACAGTGTCTGCCACACTTGCACAGAAGATGGCAGGAAGTGGTACCCAGGAGTGCTGCTGCCTGGGATGGGGCAAGGGGTGGCTGACAGGTGAGTGGACGGGAGACTTCCCACCAGGGAACTGTCCAGCGTAGGCGCTCACCACCCCATCCACCGGGGCTCCCGGGCCTGATCCTGGCCTTCTTCTCCCCCGTAGGGTCCATCAGCCTGGACAACCTGCAGTCCTTATCCTCCGACAATGCCACCATGGCCATGCAGCAGGCTATGATGGCGGCACACGACGACTCACTGGACGGGACGGAAGAAGAGGAGGAGGATGAGATGGAAGAGGAGGAGGAAGAGGAACTGGAGGAGGAGGCGGACGAGCTGCAGACAACGAATGTCAGCGACCTGGGCTTGGAACACAGTGACTCCCTGGAGTAGCCGAGCCGCCCAGATGGCACTGGTCACCGAGGGGGAGAGGAGCGTCATCAGGAGGGCTTCGGAGTGGGGGGGAAGGGGACGGGGCAGGCAGCACAGAGGAAGTTGGGCCCTGGCTTCCCGGAATCAGTAGCTGGAGGAAATGCACAGGAAACACCCGCTCCTTCCCAACCACCAAGCTTCACCGAGAACCCCGGCCCCACTTCCCTAGGACTGCAGAGGACTCGGCGTGGCAGGGCCGGTCGAGCAGCCTGGACGGAGAGGCAGGAGTGAGATCTGGACTCACCGCATCCCTGAGGACAGAGGGCACCCACGGCGCCCACCCACTGAAGGACTTGAGTCATTTACAAGCCCCGCGCTGGGACATGGGTCAGTGCTGTTCATGGAGTGAGCCTCTGCCAGGGAACTGAGTCAGGAGGAAAGAGACAAAGTGGGTCTGGGCTCCACCTCCACAGGGTCCTCGGCTATTTGAGAGACATTCAAGGGCAGGAGGGAACCGGAATGCATGACCCATGGCTGGAGGGAGAGGGGGGCCAAGGCATTACATCCTGTAGAATAAGATGGGACCTGGATTCTCTAGGGCTCCCCTTGGTCCTCCAAGGCCCATGGACTTGGTAGAGGGGGACGAGAGCCATTAGAGCCTTCTCTCTCCCTCTCTCTGTCTCCTGGAAATCAGTGGTGAGCTGGTGAGCTCAAATTATAGGAGGTTAAATGGAGGCCCTTCACCTGGGTTGGCTCCAGGACACAGAGATGGCAAGACCTGGGCTAGAAGCCATATCAAGGTGACTCTGGGGACCACAGCTGTCCCCAGGTGGTCAGTGGTATCTTAGCCCAGAAGTCCCAGCCCTGGGATGGAGCTCTCCAGACGTTCCACACCTTCCATGGGCTGTTGGAGAGGGTGGAGCCGGGTTAGCTTGGCAGCTGTCCACCCCTCCCGCCCCTCGCCGTTGTCCCTCTGCCCCAGGCTGGCTCCACCAGCCTTCATCCTCTCTTCTTCGCTCTATCCTTCTGAGAAGGCAGAAGAAACTTTGGAAAGAAGCATCCAGCCCAGGGGGAAGCCAGGGGTTGGAGAAGGTGCTAGCGACATCTCCCTTCCCATCAATATCCAAAGTGTGGGGGAGGTGCCCACCCACCCGCCTCACTGTTCCACACACCATCCCTACCACAGCCCTGGAGGAACCTGGGCTCCGCAAGGAGGAGGAGTCTTCCCACCATCTGCCCTGACACACAGCCCCCACCCCAACCCCCAGGCCCCCAGGATTGGCACCCCGCCCTCCTGTTCCCTCCCACCCCTACGGCTGTGAACCGCAGGACTGATCACACGTGTGTTTTCCATTGAATTTAATTTAACGGACTTGCAGCTTCATCTGTCAGTTGTGCGTTGGCCATCTCCAGCAGCGGCAGGATGTGAGTTGGCTGCTGGGCTCACCTCGAGGGCCCCCTGCAGGGCCCTGTAAGGTGGAGCAAAAGGATGGTGGCTTTCCTGAGGTCTCCCTGAAATGAATGTATTTCTTCCCCCAAAAGAGCTGATATTTAATGTTTTAATAGGGATTTTTGAGAAACAAATAACCTTATTTATAATCTGGGTGATCCAATCATTTTTTTACTCCCTTTTGATGCCACAGGTAGAGGAAAGTCTAGCTTTTTTGGCATGAGACTTTTACAACGTGCAGTGGGATAAAATACATTTCCTGTTCTGCTTCATTTTTCTTGTTCATACACACGCGCGCGCACACACACACATACACCCTTCCACTTATCACTTTGGACAGGCATCCCACCCCACACACTTGCACACACGTGCCCACACATCCTCCTCCCAGCCCCCCTCCACCTGCCTAATGTTATGCAACCTCTTCTGATGTATCCACCAAACCAGTACTGAATGTGGCCGAGTTTTCAGTAAACCTTATTACCTACTGTAATTCTGGTGCGTGATTCTCTTTTCATGTGGTTAAGGGTCAGGGGAACCCTGGACCAGAGGAAATTTGGAGGCCTCAGCATAACCGTTGTTCACTCGACTGCCCATGAGAGGGACCAAGGAAGAGGGCTTTCTGGATGTCCTCAGTTTGCCAGTCTGGAGAGGAAGATGGCCAACTTGGGCACAATCACCGCAGAGGTATCTGCTCTAAGACAGAGAGAAGACGGGCAGAGGCTCTGCACTGCCCTCTCCTGGCAGTCTGCTGTCATAGCAGGAGAGCTCAGAGCTCGGTCCCCTCTTCCACCTCGCCCAGCCCTCAAAGACCCTTGCTTATCCCACCTCCATCCAAGCTGGTGCCACCACTGCCCATCCTCCCACCTCACATGCCCCCCTCGCCCTATCACTCATGTGAAAGGTCCCAGGGATCAGGAAGGATAGGCAGTCTTGACTGCCACATTGAATCCAGGAGCTGTGTTCGGAAGGGAGCCTGCCCTTTGAACCCCAGAGTTCAGCGCTGTATTCCCTGGGGCAGGAAGAATTTGAGAGGCAGCTAATCTCCCTGACTAAGTGAGAGGCAGTCTTGTTACTTTCATCCTAGAGGTTTCCTTACCTGGGCCCTTTGCTGAGATGTCCCGGCATGGGTTTAGAATTCTTCGTTCCCATTGGCAGAGGCTGGCGAGTTTATGCTTAACTGTGGACACCCTCTGGCCAGGATGAAGATGGGAAAGGGGGAGATTCCAGAGGTGAAAGGGTAGGTAGCCGTCCCCTGGGTCCCCGCCCTCCCAGAACCGAAACCCTGGCCACATCTGGAAAGTGCCACAGACCCCACCTCTGGGCAGCAGAAAAAGCCTCCAAAGCCACGGGAAAATGACAGCTGGAACCTCATCCCCGAGAGCCAGGAAGATGGCTTTCAAAGCAGTGATTTCCAAGGAACAAATTTTTCCCCTCATTCTGGTTTAGTTTTTTAAATTATGAAAGTATGATAACACATTTACAGGAGACTTGGAGAATACAGAGCAAAGTTACATATAGTTCCACTATATATGACAATTATTTTTTGAAGGAGATAAATTAAGATTTTTTTTTAGTTGGAGTTAAGGAGCACACTCTTAAGATATAGCCAGCTTAGTCTAGGATGAACTCCATGTTATACTTTGTTAAAACGGTTTCATAATGTGAATTAGTATATAAAAGCCTCTGAAAGTTCCTACAGGAAAGAAAACTGTTTAACGTGTTCCCCAAATGTATTTATCTTTTGTTTTTCAAGTAATAGATAATCAATCGTACTAGCATTGCACAAAACGCATTTTAGGAAACACACCGCTGAGAAATTATGTAATAGCCTGAGCCCAGCCTCTCCCACCCCTTCCTAAGTTTTTCTCTCAAGTTCTACCATCTTTTATACAAAGCGGCTAACTAAAAAGTGGTATCCTAAATCATCTGAGACGTGGGTGGTTGTGTTGTGAGAAGGCAGCAACCTCTGTCTGCGCTAGACCCCAACCCTATCCAACCCACGGAGATGTCTCGAAGTCCATGTGGAAAGAAGAGAGATGGGACAGCGTGGGGTGGGGATGAGGAAGATCTCCTTTATCCTCAAGACAGAGCTGTGATATCCAGGCCCTGGGAAACGTTCAGATTGAATTCTGGCCCCAACCCCCCAAACCCATCAGGGATGACCTGATTGGAGATTCCTGCCCAAGGAAGTTCATGACTAGAGCTTAACTTCCTGGACCATGTGACCTCTCTGCTGCCTTGCGCATGACCAGATGAGGGCAGTGACTGTCACAACACAGCCAGCACGGACTCATTCAATCAAGTATTAATTGGGCACCACTCTGTCCCAGGCAGTTTTAGATATTGAGACTACCACTGAGATCAATGAAGACACAGTTCTTGCCTTCAGGGAATTCACACTCTAGGGGAAGATTGAGACTGAAAGAGAACTCATCATATCCTCATAATGGTTGAGCTATGACCATATCCTAGACAATAACCTCCAACTTGGTCATTCAGAGCTGCAAACAGGAGACACTGAGGTCAAATCCAGCTTACAGTCATGTTTTGTTTGGACCATGCATTGTTTTGGAAAATTTGGGGGCCAACATTTAAGTCAGAAGTTTGCACGTAAAATGCAGATTCCTGATTTCTCTCGAAAAATCGAGCAAAGAGGCAACTTAGGACCTAGATTCCCACCCAGCCACAGCTGACGGTAGTTGAGTCACTGAGCCCCTGACAGTGTGGCCTCCAGGCTGTCGTGACATTGGCCACTCACAGGGTCTCCCATTGCGGAGCTTGAGGGTCAGCTGCTGTTTGCTACTGGGCTGCCATTCTTCGGTTGGCTCATTGGCTAATTATGTTTTCTCCTCTCTTTTTTCCTTTTTTTGCCTTTCCCTCCAATATTTGAGCAGTTGTCTTTGAAAAGGAAAATCGGGGCTTCCCTGGTGGTCCAGTGGTTAAGACTCTGAGCTTCCAATGCAGGGGGCATATGTTCCATCCCTGCTTGGGGATCTAAGATCCCACATGACCTGCAGCCAAAAAAATAACAACAATAAATATTTTAATTAAAAAATAAATAAAAAGGAAAGCATATCTCTATACACATTGTTCCATCCAGAGTGAGAAAGCAAGATAATCCAAGAGAGCTCTGCATTTAAAAAAAAATGGGAAGAATATATTTGCCTATGGAAGAGAAGAATCTCCTACCTTTAACTGCAGAGGTACCTGTGTCTTATAACCAGATGCCTTCAGTCCTGTGTTACCTGCCTGCCTGGCCTACAGAGGGAGTCGTGAGCCTTGGGGCATAAAAGCCACCGGGGTTGCTTGTGCTATATGCAGAACAGGTCGCACAACGACTAGATTGTTCCCAGATTTTGATCAAGATGCTGAAGACTTTGAGAAACACCGCTCTTGGAAAATTGCCCTCAGCTGTCTTTTAGAAGTGCCTTGCTTTATAGCTGCTCCCATGAATTTCCTTCTGCTAAACACACTACAACCCCTGAGCCTGTTACATCATTCAGTAAGCATTCAAGGATGGCTACTATGTGCCTGGCATCGAATGAGGGACAGAGGGTGATTCAACTCT